TCTTTACAAACTTTGAACGAAAAGTTCAACGGTGACCTCGGATCAGAACTTGAGTCGCAGTTTTAAGGTTATTTCGATTTCGTTTTTTAAATGCAAAGTCTCTTATTTCCTACTAAGTATTGTAATCGCGAAAAATTTTGAACATGAGATATTGCATTTAAGTGAAACAAACCGGATAGGCGAGGTATCTCCAATCGCTTTCTAGTTGCATCACGCTGCCTCGTGGGCACTTACCACGGTACCACAGTGTGAGAATAACTTGTATATGATTTTGAATGAACACAAGATGGGGCATCAAGCAGCTTCAGTGGCGTGGGTAGGATTTACGACATATATTTGGGTATTTCTCAATCGCTGTAAATATAGTGTGGAAGTTTGTTCACTGCCTGAACAACGAAAAATATTCAAATTTATGGGTGTATGGATATCAAAAATCCTGAATGGTTTTGTATAAAAGTTAATCTAAGGTGCCATAATGGTACTGATGAACGGCAAGGTAATTAATGAATGTGAGGAAACGAGGAATATGTATGAAATTTTTGGTCAAAAGTCTTTGTCATCAAGTAGATGTTTAATGGCTATCTGCAAGAGGTTTATAGGAAGAAACACATGGTAGGTGATGTTAAATCAAGAAAATCGCATATCAATTGAAGAAAATAACATAAACATTTTAAATTTTGACTAAATGATGTGTAATTTCTTGATATTCAATAAGGTGGTGATGTTTCAATGATAAGCTGTCATCTCATACTTTGACTATATTTTGTTTTGGTTGGTTGCTAAAATTTGCTCAATGAATTTCAAAGTTCATTCGCTATATTTGACGGACTGTTATCCTATAGGTGGACAACAGCGGCTTTTGATTTGACAATCTTGGTGGAATCCACCCTAAAACAGTACTTTGTCGTTTACTTAACCGTTAACTTCGGTCGATAATCGCCGATTGCCGATTACGATGCGATACAATCGACAAATACGTCAGCGTGACCCACCCTTAACGCAACTGCTCTATAAAACTGCCTCACCGCTGGCAGTCGGTAGTTTTCGACGCCGCGCATAAATGCAGCCCAACAAACAAGCGCGCATCTAGCCGCGGCACGCGTGATGAATTACTTTATGTTTTGACAGTTCCATCACAAACCCCGACAACAAATATTAACTTTCGACGTTCGGACGAGCCGCGGTGCATTGTTCAGATGCGGAAGCTGCGGTCACGTTCAATTGATGAATGTATTTTATTTGAAGGCGATTCTTGTCGACGAACACGGCGTTTTCGATATTTGAACTTCAAAGTAGCATACCATCGAAGGTAGCGTTTCTCCCGACAGGATCCGCGTATACGCTGAGCTAGATTCACTTACGATTCCAAAGTGTTGGCAGTTTATTATCTCTCAGAAGCCTTGAGGGATAACTTAAACTGCAGACCTTACAGCTGTAATCGCTATATTTTACTTAGCAAGAACCGAAAAAGGTAAAAAGACGCGGTTGGACAGGTTGGGGTGACAAGACTCGTTAACGCACCTCACGAAACAGTAATATAGAAGTGCATCTCGATACCGATCAGTCTAGTCACGGATACAACGAGCGACATGTCACGTCATCAACAATATCGTATATATTTTGGCTACAATGACAAAGATGGAAAGCAAAAATATTCTATTCAGCTTCTGTGATGTACTATTTTCTTGACAACACTCAAACAACATTTTTACAACTTGCTAAGCAAGCATTTCGGCAATAAACCACGAGCTTTACTTAGAACGTTCCGCCGCGTCAACGCTTACTTGAGAAAATGACGAAATTACGTCCTTCTCGCAACTCAATTTCGCGACAATTTCATAAGCTTAAAACCCGTTCCAATTCCTATTTCAAGGATTACCGCAACATCTGGTGCACTTTTAAACTCAACCATAAACCAGGTTGTAACAATAAAACCTATATTTCAACACTTGCATTGCTGCTCATAAATTTCAAAACGACGCTTATTTTCACGTACTTCCACCAAAGTTTACAGGCTTCAAATAGTTCTGTACCTCAGCGGCAAACTACGTTAAGTCTTAATGAGAGTTTTGGGATAATTGCGTTTGAAATACTTTTTCTTTTGCGAATGATGGCTTTCAATCAAATTGCATGGAACTTAATTAAGTTTGATACTTTATAAATGTACTTTCGTTAAGTAAATAATTGAATGTAGTTTTTTACAAGGCGATTTAATATACGATCGAAAAAATAAATGAAACTATACTATGTAACATAGAAAATGCAACACCCAGGAATAAAGAATTCATTACAAAGATTTTCTAGGTTGTTTGTTAGGAGAAAAACGATCAGATTTTTCAGAATTTTCAAAATTTTCAGTATATTAAGTTTCAAAGATTTCAGAATTTGCAAGCATTTCAGATTCTGAAAATTTCAAAAATTTTTAGAATTTCGAAGATTTTAAATTTTGCAAAAACAAAAAAAATCAATTGCATAAATTTCAAAATTTTTTGGAAATTTCAAAAATTCCAAATATTTGAAGAATTTTAAAAGATTTAAAATATTTCATATATTTCAAAAATTTCTGAGATATAAAACATTTCAGAAATTCCAAAAATTTAAACATTTTCAAAATGAAGATTTTCAAACTTTCTGTCATTTTCAAGAGCCTCAAAATGATCAAAATTCCAAAATTTTCAAAATAAACATTTGAAAAACTGAAAATTTCAAATATTTCATAGATTTCAGGCATTTTCAAAATTTTCAAAATCTTTCAAATCTCCAACATTTTTAAAATTTCTATATTTTCAAAATGCTCATGATTTTAAAAATTTCCGGAATATTCAAAATTATCGATAAGTTCAAAATTTTCAGTCTTCAAAATTGTCTAAATATTCTATTCATATTTTCAAAATTTTGAAAAGACTCAAAATTTTTAAGATTACAAAATCTTTTAATTTTTCAAATTCGCAAAATTTTTGAAAATCGAAGTGGTCAAAACTTAGTTCATTGTAAAAATGTTCAAGATTTTCTAAATTTTATAAATTTTACGAATTTCCAAAGTTTTTAAGACCTGTGAAAGATTCATGTAGGATTTAGCTGTATTTTCGACTACAGAAAATTTCAAAAATTCCAAATATTTTAAGAATTTTAAAAAATTTAAAATAGTTCATTGATTTCAAAAATTTCTGAGGTTTCAAAAATTCCAAAAATATCAACATTTTTAAAATGAAGACTTTCAAACTTTCCATCATGTTCAAAATATTAAAAAAATTTCTGAATTTTCAAACTTTTCAAAATATTCAAAATTTTCAAAATCTTCCAAATTTACATTTTCAAAATTTTATATATTTTCAAAATGCTCATAATCTTCAAAATTCCCGGGATATTCAAAACCATCGATATTATATTCAAAATTTTCGAAATACTCATATTTTTCAAAATTTCCAAAATTTCTGATTATCCAGAATTATCGATATGGTCAAAATTTCCGGTCTCCAAAATTTTCGAACTATTCAATACATATTTTCAAAATTTTGAAAACATTTCGAAAATTTTTCAAGAGCTATAAAAGATTCATGTCGGATTTAGCTGTATTTTCGATTACACGGGAAATGACTAATTGCACGCGGCACTTGGAAGTGCTCGAACTGCAAAAGAGGTGGACCTTTATGGCTAGCGTAACCAGAAATATTCATGAATCGCCAAAAAGATCGCCAGACGCCAGGTCGGAAAAACCGTCAACAAGATATATCACAAATCGCTCAACTTGGCAACGCTGGAACTGCACCTTACAGGTGCAAATCATCATACACTTATTAGAAGAATCCAACAGCGCCGACAGACATGCGTAGTGGTTTCTGTGACACCCGAGACCGTTTCCCCTCTGGAATTCTTTTGCTGAGTTGGACTATGAAGAAACCGATTCTGATCCTACTACTGGTATTCCATGTACTTTGCTTCTACAAGGGAAAGAACGTAGCAATGCAGGGTTGCCAACTACAAGGAATAAAGCTGAATCAATTCTAACATTATATCAGCCGCAGGTCATAAAAAAGTGATAAAGAAGAGCGGGCGGTCTAGAAACGTGTTAAGGCGCCCTATGGCGTGGATAATAGGGCTGTATAGCACCTACTCATACCGGAGTCTGAATATACAGGGTTGGTTGATATTGCAGAACATATATCAGATAATACTTTAAGTCGATAAGCCCATGGTGCAGATGAAGTTTATAACCATTTTTGATCACGGACAATGCCGAACAAGTGTTGTTGAAGCTTCTTTCTGCCCGCCAAACGAGCGGAAAATTTCCCTTAAAATTAAAAATTTGTCTTTATTGTATGATAGTAATAATAACTTTTATTCTTGCCAGTCTCGCGGATACCAAACGTCAAAATACAGGTTACAGCAATTATTATAATGCACGATGAAACTCAAATTATGATAAAAGCGATACAAAACCAATAACTGAACAATATTTTTCTACCAAAAATGCTTGCACACGTTTTTTTGAAATGGGATAATTAAAGAAATCGTATGTCTTTTAAGAAATCAATATCGATGTCAAATGTCGTTAGTTTTGTATCAAATGCTCACTGCGATTGAGTGGTTTAATGCCGACTATCAAATTAGTGAGTTCAGGCGATTTGAAAGATCAAAGATATGTTCACACATGTTGAAGTCCCCTCGTATATTGGAAAAGAAGCGTAGGTTGGTGATACATATTAATAGTTGGATAGTTTATAGACTGCATTAAAAGTCTTTGTTAATGGAGTTCATCGTGACACGTGATGTATAATTTTGAAAACAAATGTTCACGGATCACAAATCATGAGCCACTTTAAATATAAAACCGTCCACCCATGGAGATGTATATGAAAACAATATAGTTGCAGAGACTTTGTTCGATTTTATGAGAAGGGATTAATTACAATAATTAAATACTATTGCCTCAAAATATTTGTATGTCTTCACGTCAGTGATCGGACTCCTGTCTCAAGGTACAAAATAATAAATAAAGATTATCATTTTTTATAGTGTCTTTATTGTCAATTCAGTATAAGTATGTCATTAATAAGTAAGGGTTGTTTTATACCTGTTTGCAAATCGAACATATAACTTGCTCGAGATGCCTCATATGGCCAGGGGCTTGAATTTTAGATAAATAGGTACCTTGGATACCAGACTGAAGGAAAATGGTGTGAATTGTATTTTCTGTGGGGTGTCAGGTGTTGTTTCCATCTCAAAGTTAGTCGAAACGTGAGCTACAGCGATTTTGAGATCTAGTAAGGCGTATCTTTCACCTGCAAAATATTGCAAAGATTGTCTTCAAAATTTCAGATTTTCAAAATTCAAAACAAAATTCTTAGGCATTTAAAAATTTTCAGTTTTCAGTATTAAATCAAAATACTGAAAAAATCTTCAAAACCGCAAAAGCTTCCAAAATTTTCAATATTTGAAAATTAACATCATATCCAAAATTTTCAGTTATCAAGATTTTCAAAATTCACCATTTCAAGATTTTTTGGATATACAGGAATCTCATTTTCAACATATAAAAAATTATTAAAACTGAAATATGTATTTGAAAATTTTCAAGATTTTAAAATTTTTTTAGAATTTTCAACAGATTTACCAGATTTTCAAATTATCGAACTTTTCAAAATTTCCACTCATCCAAATTTTCAAAAATTTCTACATTTTCAACATTTTAAAAACATTCAGGATTCTAAGAATTTTCTAGGTTCCCAAGATTTTCAAAATCTTCTTGATTTTTCAAAATTTTCATGGTTTTCAAAATTTTTAAGGATTTTCAAAATTCACGCTTTCAAGATTTTTAGCATACTGAAGAATTTCAAAATTTCCAAGATATTCAGAATTTTTGCATTATTCAAAGGTTTTTTAAAAGTTCAAAAATTTTCAAATATGAAGATTTTCACAATTCATTCAAAGTTGTCGGTACCTGCTCTCAAAACTATCATGATCTCAAAAATTTATATAAATTTTCTATCGTTATTTCACAATTTTTCTATGATCTGAACCAGATATGCACACTCACCAATACAGATTCTGGGCCCGTCGCCAAATGGAAAGAACCTAATACCATTCTGATTGTACCTGGATTTACTTTCAAATCGTTCAGGTATAAACTTCTCAGGTTCAGGAAAGATGCTTTCATCAAAGTTAAATCCAAGCATTGGTATGTAAACCTGTTGCCCTTTTGGGATTATGACGTCAGTTCCTCTTATTTTGTAGTCCTTCGTGCATTCCCTGTCTATGAACGGTAAAGGAGGATACATCCTCATGACCTCTGAAACAGAGCGTTAACATTGACTAACATCGTCGAGGATAGGCAACCTTATAATAATATTTAACGTCTTTTTTATTACCGCTCTTTATCATTTGTGTGTTACGAAAACCGTCTTGACCTTGACATAACCTTGAAGGTCATAGATGAAGGTCGCTTTTCTGTGGGAAACGAATTTTGATGTATCTATACTTTTCAAACACCCTGTATGGTTGGATATCTTTAGTTAATGTCTGGAGTCAGTCCAATTCAGGTGATCTAAAAGAATGACTTCTTTTTCAACTTTAGGCGAGACTCGAACTAGTTTCGTGTCGTGTCGTTGAAAATCTTTTACAAAAAAAATGGTAAACTTACCTTGAATAATCATTTCCATATACTTCATTCCAATAATTTTTTCATAGCTGAATTGAGTATCATCACCTTTAGCTTCTGTCACCTCATTTCTCAATTTTACTTGGACTTCTGGATGTTTAGCTAGCTCGTAAAGTGTATAAGTCAAAGTAGTTATGAGAGTATTTTCTCCTGCTATGAAGAACATGAATGGCTGACCAACAGCTTTCCTGTCTCCTAGGGCAACGATTATAGTATCAGACGGCTTAAATTCCAGTATTTAGTGATAATTTAGGGATGGATAATAAAATGATGACCGAATTTCAAAGATTTTTGAAATTTTTAAGATATTAAAAAATATCTTAAAAATTTCAAAAATGTCGAACTTCAAAATTTGCCAAATTTCCAAAATTTTCGAAATTTCCAATATTTTCGGAATCTTCAAAATTTTCAAGATTTTTAGAACTTTCAAAGATTTCACAATTTTCAATTTTTTCAAAATTTCTATTTTTGCAAATTTCAAAACCCTCAAAATTTCCGAACTTCAAAATTTGTCAAATTTTCAAAATGTTCAAGATTTTTGAAATTTTCAATATTTTTTGGATATTCAAAATTTTCAGTACAATCAAAATTTTCAAGCCCTTCCAAATTTTCCAAGATTTTCGAAATTTCTAATATTTTCAATCCTTCAAATTTTTCAAAAATTTCAAAATTGTCAAATTTTTTACAATCATCAAAATTTTCAATTTTGCCAAATATTTCAAAATTTTAACTTGCATATTTTTCCTTACTGACAAATTTCTGACCTCCAGAGTTGCCTCTATACTCACCGTACGTAAATTTCTTTGTATAACTCTCATTGCTTTTCAAACTGTTCACTATATCAATCAAATTGCTAATCTTTCCTTTAGTTTCTTTGCTAAGTTTAACCAAATACTGGAATACGTCCGCGAAGAAGTCAAGCGCAGCTCTTTGCGGAAAGCAGAGTTTCAAAGACTCTATCAAATTATCGAGCCTGAAAAAGAAGCTGATACCCCTGACACCACCTTCCAATGTGACAGACATTGCCGACTTCATTCTGGTGTAGATTTCACTATCTTCATCTAAGCAGTATGATTCTACTCCCACGAAACTCCTGAAATTAATTTCTTTTGGATTCAGACTTCGCATCTACCTTCAATGAAGCGTTTTCAATAAAAAAGCATTTTGATAAAAATGGTGTAGAGTGGTTTTCGACAGGTTAATAATGCTAAATGTTACAATAAGTTAAATGTCACATGCATTTAAAACACTTCTAGCTACTATTCATATTTCCTTAAAATCAACAAGTTCATCATTTACCTGAGAAGTGTGTCTGTAGAGTATCTCAACGAACAATCTTGAATATCGATTTTTGTAGTATCATTATTTTTGATGAATTTTACCAATTTTTCTGCGTATGTGTTCAATTCTGGAAACATCTGTCGCAGCTTGCCAGATGTGAAAGCATTCGTGAACTTTTCTCTTGTTTCTTTCCATTCTCTGCCTTTTTGAAGCAACATCATACCTGAAAAATTTTGACAATTGATAAAAAATCGAAAATTTCCGACCGAAGATATGTCATAAGGTTCTAACAACAAACTAACAACAAGTTCAACGTCGGAATCTTCACCACAAACCTATTATACTATTCATTCTTATTTTCAGAGGTCAAAAGGGAAATATATCGAACACTTTATCTATTATTTACACGGAGCTCAAACTGTGATAATTTGTCACTACCATGGATAACGGGTCACGACCATGGCAGATTGATTCCATGGTTGTGACACCTATGGTTGTGACTCCTATGGTTGTGACTCCTATGGTTGTGACTCCTATGGTTGTGACTCCTATGGTTGTGAAACCTATGGTTGTGACTCCTATGGTTGTGACTCCTATGGTGGTGACTCCTATGGTTGTGACTGTTTTAAACCGTGACTTGCCTAACTTCAAATCTATACTGTTAGCTAATTTACACGATTTAGGACAAATATAGCCCAACTAATACAAGCTAAAGGTAAAATATGAGTAATATTGTAATCTCGATTTTAATGTGGTTTGCTCGGTCAAATCCATAAAAAGCACGAATAAATCGAGTTCCGAAAAGCACTATGACTGTTATTTTAGTACATTGTTTGACATAAAGACAAAAAATAGTACCAAATAATAAAATGTACTGATCTGCTGAGCAATTAAAAAATGAGCCACGGTCGTGACCGAAAAAAGGTCACAATCTTTAGAGCATGTATTGGTCAACGTGAAATCGAAATTTAATTATTTTTATCAGTTAAGGCTATTAATTACCAGAAAAAAATAAAAAAGTTAATTTCAAAATATCCACTAGTAAGAACCAGATTTCTGATATCTGTTACAGTTTGGTCATTTAACCATTTTCCAATTTCGTTCGTCGTGTATGTATTTGATTCAATTTATTTTTCAACAAAGTGAGGAAAAGAGGATTATATTATTACCTTTTTCATAGAATAATTTTTTTATAATGCATTACCTTGTTGTAATTGCTCATGTTTGGGCAATGGTGTGGATCTATCATGAAAGTGACTGAAATCCTTGATCAGACAGTCCCTCACCAATTCTGGAGACTTGATCACCATACAAGGAGTGTTGAAAACGAATATTCCAAAGTAAGGTGCATCCATCTTTTCATAACACGACCTCAGCCATTCTCCTATGGATCTTCTAAAAAGAGCAATGGACGCAAAGTTGCCAAAAAAAGGCATCGGCTCTATGTAAGGCACACCTGTATCCTTGAAGTATTTGAAGTTTCTCGTGGCATATTTGTACAAGATGTAGATAGCGAGTACTGTGAATATTGCTATGTCAACTGGTACTGATGTCTTCAGCAGCAACATCTGAAATTTCAATAAGATTGAAAGAATACCAGTCACTCCCGCAAAACGAATTTAACAGTGCAGTCCAGTATAAGACATCGTACCTTTTTTCAACATCTGCAGTTTCCTGTAATTTGGATCAATCACCTACCTAACCTAAGAGGCATGTATATACATTTGTTTATTATTATTACTGGGAGTTCTTCAAGTCACTTAATATACGTACCGCAAACTGAAGCTATCGACACTGATAATTCACAAACGTTGTATTTATTGTTTGTACGAAACTGGAGAAGTATGTCACAGCATCTATTATTACCAAAAGTGATACGATCACAAAGGATCACAGAGCGCTTGAGGACGGTCTTTCACTTTGACAAATCTGGCGGAACTGATTTTGAAGACTACAACTTTGACTTTTCACTGAATACTCATTAACTTGATAGTGATAATTTTTTAATAACGTTATTTGTCAATAATTACAAAACTATGCTGCCGTCAGTATAAATATTATGTTGGAGATATTCGTTATCTTAACGTGGATACGATTATGCTGTTCTATTTATTAAAATATGTTGATACTGATTTAGAATCGCGAATATTGAATTTAATCACGAATTGAAATAATGTACATGTTTTTTAATACACGATAACGCTGCCTGGGGAGCGTTCAAGGGGAGATAATAATAATAACAATAACTCGGGTCTTTTTTATTTGTAATAATATTACACCTAACCCGCTCAACAATATGAAATGCATACAAGCTGAAAATTTGTTGAAAACTAACACTTGGATACGATAATGACAGAATAAAGTATAATCAATGTAAAGACATAAATAAAACACAACGTTTATAGGTCAGATTTCGCTCCTGACCAAGTAGAACGTCTCTCACTTTTTTCTTGAATTTAGGTAATGAGTTGAATACGAGTTCTTGTTCTAATATCTAAATAGGGATAGGGATGATCCATTATAATATCTAGGTTCTAAGTATCGTGGCCAAAGAATTGTATGCTGCATGATTTTACCTTCTGAGGTATACGTATATAATGAAAATAACAGGGGTCCTAATTCAGATCTCTGTGGAATACCAGATATACATACTATATGTAGTAGTATCGTATGATAAGTTATTCCATCTGAATCACTAGAATTTGATTTTATTTTATTAATGATCTTAACAACGGTGTCAATATTCACTTTACTAAATTAAAATTCGGATTTTGAATTATTGTTCTTATCTTGGTAATATGCAATTTCATCAGCAAACCTCAAATCACTGTTTGATGATATATATCATATTTTTCATAATGAGAAATTCTGAAAGTAAAAAACAGTAAAAAATATATCACAATAACACATTTACGCTCTCACTGGAAAAAACACAGAGAAGACGTTAAAATAAATATAACGACAAAAGATCCTTGTATGGTCTGGTTTACGAAACAAATGACTGTCTGAAAATTTCAAGGCCTACTTAGGAAATTCTGTTTTTCCGAAATAACTCAGGTTTAGCAATGCCAATTTATGACATATCGAACATTTTTGGAATCAGAATTAAAGACTATATTCACCTGTGCAAAAATCCGAAATGGCGTCTACAAGAAAAAACGTTGATGCCGGAGGATAAGAGGAAAAACGTCATATTGAAATTCTAATTATGCCATCTTGTAAAAGGGAAAAAATGGCAACGTTAATGTTCAATTTTTTGTTAAATTCTACTACAAATAAAGTTAGGAAAAAATTAAAACGGTTTTGGGAAATTTTTTCTGTGGCTTTCTTCTCGACAATGAATAGTTTATTTATCTTATTGGAAATACCACAGCTAAGTTGTGATTAAAATAGCCCAAGCTAGCGACTTTTAAACAAATAGATATTCCACATCTACTTTACCGCCAGAATCGTCAGACAACTAGCGGTCACATGGTGACTGGGCTATTAAACGTGAAGCAAGTCATATTGAAATTCTAATTATGTCATCTTGTAAAGGAGAAAAAATCGCAATGTTAATTTGTAATTTATTTTGAAATTCCACTACAAATAACGTTAGGAAAAAATTAAAACGGTTTTGGGAAATTTCAATTTTTTTGTTGCTTCCTTCTGGACAATGAATAGTTTATTTATTTTGTTGGAAATACCATAGCTAAGCGAGGATTAAAATAGCCCAAACTAGCAACTTTTTAATAAATATTCCACATCTAATTTACCGCCAGAATCGTCAGTCATCTAGCGCTCACATGGTGACTGGGCTATTAAACGTGAACTGAGATCCCTAACAGTTCCGACTAATTTCTGGTGAGATAGCTAGCGATCTGCGCTGTATTTGTTCGAACATTTTAATACTTATAGGTTGATCTGTGATTGAAGTTTCCGCAAAAGTCGTTTAACCCAACTTAACGAGTCGTTCCCCCCCACAACCCGCCGCTGGTCCAATCGTCGTACGGCGATGACAATGCGCCAATGAGGGGTGCGAAAGTGGCACGGCCAGAGGGCGAAGGGCGTCATCGAACGGCAAAGGGCAGAGGGAGAATTGTTGGAATTCCCATCGAGAGGCTTGCTGGTCGAGAGCTGGAAGCTGCTTTTCTTTGCCGACGCATTATTAATTATGAGTGTAAGGGCGAACGGCGTACGTTAAGTGCTCCACTGGCGAAAGGAAGAGGATTGTCCTGCTCGTGCTAGCTTCCTTTTCCGATGTTCAGTGTTGGGTCGATCTCAGATCCGCGGGGATCCGCCTTGGTTCTAATATCGTTTCTACAAAGGGTACTATGAAGGCTTTGCAATACAGCTTTATTTATTCACTTTGTTCAAAGTGATTTCCACCACATTCAATACACTTGTCCATCCGCCAGTCCTTAAGTACGGCATACCCCGGTCTTCGTCAAGCATTTTCCTCACAGCAGCAATGTTTTCCTCTGTTACTGATGTTCGCGGCCTTCCTTTCCTCTAAGCGTTTATTGCCGCCAAAACACTGTACCGTACCTTAACTAACAGGCCGTCAGCGACCTAGCTCTTTTCTACCGCTACGCCAACGGGCTTTGCTCCTCAGAGCCCTCCTCCATGAAGTCGCTGCACCAGACAGACCCACCCGACTTTGACCTTCCATCCTAACCATGTCTAACTTCGTACATCCTGAACTGGCGGATACGACCGCTCTCTCGTACTTAGGGTATCGATATCTTTTCCTAGTTCTACTAAGGAACTTAAAAATCGGACTGACAAAGTTTCTTCAAGCTCCTTATAGCAACCGCGTTCCCTGACATTTAGGCTTCTGCCATGGTGTCTGTTTCGGTGACAACAAAACGAATATGAAAGACCTATTAATAGTTCCATAGTATACTCAGGTACCAGACCGGACAAGAGTAGCATGGCACATAGTATGCTAATGCTAGAGCGACGTGCCTTTGTATAGACAAAAATGGTACGAGCGTTTTTCCACACAGCCCCGTAGATGTATCTTGCATTTGTCTTCCGTTTCGACACCAGACAAAAACTCGATTTTCAATTGTCATAGCCCGGGCGGTAACAATGGGCTGTCGCTTTGGGTGTCAACGTTCAACGCCGCCTCTGACCCCCCACCACAGCACCACCTCTCGCTAATTGCGCCCCGCATAGACTACAACGATGGTGTTTTGTTCCAACGGCGACCGCGATCGCGCTACCCGTGCAGGTACAGCAATAACCGGCGCTCCAGGCGGAACACGTGCGAACCGGAAATCGCGAACGGAAATAAAACAATCGAAGAAGTGGTTGTGCGAATTCGGACAGGACAAGGCTTCTGCGATGTCTGTGCGTGAGAACTTTTGAGCGCGCGCTGGGATAGAAACTGCCGCTAACCGTTCGTTTTGACAAACGCGGACGGAAATGAAACGATTGAAACGTTCTTACGACTAGAGCTTCTGCGATGTCGTGCCGGTTAAGTGCGTGAAAGCTTTCGAGTGCCTAGCTAGATCGTAGAGGCAAAGTATATGATTGTTTGATCAGTGCCGAAAACCCGTTCAAAGCTAGTCGTTTTTACAAGATTATGATGGTCGTGTCACCAAGGGCGTAAAAACTTCAGACCTTTGGATAGAAGCAACTTACGGAAATTGAGTTTGCTTAAGCAGTGTAGGAGACAGTCACTGGATTTGCGAGTATTTGTTTGTTAAGCTTTATTGATGGTCGATGATAAAAGAGACACTCGTCTGTGATGTTTTGACCTTATCTTTGTGCGAGTTCTTGATACAATCTTTCGAAATGACAGAAACAGTGAGTGTAGTGTTTCAACGACTAATTCTTGTGTTAGATTGGTGAAAGGATCATTCTTCAAAAGTGAGTGACAAACTTTTACGTCTTACGCACAAGGTACATTTCGTTAGCCAACGGAAGTTTTTGTTTGAAAGAAGAATTTCTTGGACACTCTCACTGCTATTTTCGTATGCTTTTTGAGACACTTTTTTTTGGTGTATATAAATGTTTCATTAAATCTCGATTTGCCGGTAAATAGTAACTAACGTACGCTGCTATGTACTAGGCGATGTACTATATGTTTAAGCAAAAATCTTGAAATTGCTGACACTATGACATGATGGTAATCATATTCCTAACTAAATGTAATCAAAATAATGATGAATATTCTGATTAAGCCTAGCATAATACCGAAATGCATCCCAACCTAAATTTACATGAAATTCATTAATAATTTATTATTAATTGTTCGCAGAGTAGGCTGTGACATCAAAGAGAGGATGCGATGTAAATTTTGTTTTCGTTGTATCCCTGTTGCTCTTTTGATGAAATGGAAGTTGAGCAATTTGTGAACGGAATCCATAATTAAAGAAACATATATTATTGAAGTCGAAACTAAAATATATAAATAAGCCATATAATATACTTAGTGACATTGGAAGTGTCATTGCAGGTTTAAAGTGTACACGACATATCTAATTTTCGGTAAACAATTTTGAATGGGACACTTTTTGTATAGAAATTAGTTTTTCCTAAATACCAACACAGAACAATTGACGTTGAAGAATAGACCACAGTTCCACAGAAGATTTATTATTGATCACAGGACGGATAGCTGCGATTTTTGACAGCGCTGCGTTGCCATATCATTTTGCCACATGAGAGGTGTATTCGTATACTAGGGATGTCTTTTAAGTTTTGCATATGGAAATAAAACAACACGGTAGGTAGTTTTAAATGACTTTATAATATATATAAACACAGTATTTTCTAAAACAACATAATAAATAAAATATAAATATATATAAAACAGAATTTTTATACCTTATTAATATTTTTATTTTGATTGTCATAAAACTTTTGAGCTCTAACGTGTACGATTTGTACCTCAAAATCAGTCAACCACAACGTGTCTATACGCCTCTCAGGTGGCGAAATATGGCAACGTAGCGCTGTCAAACTTCGCATCCATTCCATCCTATGATCGATAATCGATCTTCTGTGGTCTATTCTCCAACGTCACTGCAGTATATATGTTTTGTGGTCACTTCTCACTTGTTCTGTGTCGATATTTGACGTCGAGGTAATGCTGGAAAATGATATTTTGGAAAAACAAATTTCTATATAAAAAGTGCCTGTCGCCAACGTTTGAACTGGAATAGAGAACGGCAACATTGCGAGGCAGAATGACATAATGTCATCTTCAGCGACGAATCGCGATTCTGTCTAGGTACGCATGGTACGCATACGATGGTCGTCGTGTGGAGAATGGTGTGATATTGGATTTGCTGTTGAGGGGCATGTCCACAGGGGTGTTGTAGTTGTGGTATTTGAGATTGCTCTTTATGAAGGCTTGTTTGAACATAACATTTTGGTCGTATGATCTACATCAACCGATGACAAACACTTTTATAATATCATTTCGTTGTTAGCCCACGAATTACATTAAACCTAATAATATAAATTTTTCCATTAGCACAAATGGTACGAAGACCCTCCGGATAATACCTAGAATTCTGCTAACGCGGAGTGATGAATGAATCATGAGTTTTTTTCCACACAAACTGAAGCTAGTCATTTCTTTGATGGTCTTTGATACCTAATTTATTATCTGGAAATCGATACAAATGCGTCCACGCCTTCTTTAACATTTAAAGGCGGTCGTATAATGATACTTTGATGTTTATACACTAAGTGACATATAAATCCGAACACCAAGCTTAAATGGTTTTATTTTATTAAAAATTGGTGAATGTATTTATCTTACTGTAAATAACAAGTGAAAAAATTTTCAGCCTTATCAGGTGGACATTCCGGTTTTTATACTGCTTTTTTTTTAATTCACTAACGCTCTAAAAATGAATATTTCAGCCGCAGTAAAGAATCAACGTTGGCGGATTTTGGTTCTTGACATCCTTTACGATCGGTTACGATGCCTAGAGTAGGGAGACCTGTACGATTTCGTCAACTTAGTGAGTTTGATAGGGGCCGTATAGTGGGACTTCGGGAAGCTGGACTTTCTGTTCGGGCAATTGCAGGTAGAGTGCAAAGAAGTGTAGACACTGTGGTTAGGTGTTGTCAGGCATGGCTTCGAGAAGGCCGTACGCAAAGAGCATGGGGCACTGGACGCCGCCGTAGAACAACAGACCGTGAAAATATGTAAATATTGAAAATTTTGGAAAATTTAGAAATTTTGGATATTTGGAAATTTCTAAAATCCTGTAAATCTTGGGACATTTTGGACATTTTAGAAGTTTTCGAAATTTTGGGAGTTTTGGAAGTTTTACAAATTTTGGAAATTTTGAAAATTTTGGAAAATATGGAAATTTTTCTGTTTGTTAATTTTATAACCGCCTATAACTTGATAAGTACTGGTCAGATTTTGATGAATTTTTTTCACTATATTACTACTATGCCATAAGCGCAAAAGCTTTGTAGTTTTTGAAGATCTTTTCAATGTCCGGGGAGAAAAAAGCAAAAAAGAAAGAGAACATGAAAATCTCTCAAACTTCTTTTTATGACGCTTCATAAGATCCTGATATTTTATGTAGAAGTTCTTAGGAGTGAAAAATTGGGAGGTGGGGCTTGAAGTTTTGGAAATTTTTGAAATATTGGCAATTTCATGAAATTTTGGAGATTTTTGAAATATTGGCAATTTTGGGAGTTTTGGAAATTCTGTAAATTTTGGAAATTTCGAAAATTTTGGAAATTTTGGATATTTTGTAAATTTTGGAAATATTGAAAATATAGAAAATTTTATAAATTTTTCTGTCCGCTAATCTTATAACCGCCTATAACTCGATACGAACTGGTCGGATTTTGATAAAATTTTTATACTCGTACAATGTTACTACTGTGCCAAGAGCGCGAAGCTTTGTAGTTTTTGAAAATCGATTTAATGGCGGGGGAGAAAAAAGCCAGAAAAGAAAAACAAATGAAAATCTGTCAAACTTCGTTTTTCGACGATTCAGAAGATCCTGATCATTTATGTTAAAGTTTTGGAGGGTGGTATCGCAATTTGGTGATGTTAGTTCAGTTTCACTGGACCATAACCAATAGAAACGATCCATTGATTCGAGGTGACGTTTCAGGCATGATAGCCATCTCCAATTAGCGCTTGGGCCCGCAGGCATTTTGGTTCGGGGTGGATACAGAGGGGGTGTGGAACATTTAGAAATTAAACGCACATCGCCAGGGGGTTAACCGGTCTATTGTTCGCCGAGGGTTATAATACTCTCGGTCCATAGAAAAATTCGGTTGGCCAGCCGTTATTCTGTTTATAGAGCTGATTTTCACAGCCTCTTTGTCCGACTGTCTGTACAGGGTGATGCTAAACAGGAATAGAGGTGCATCAACAAATAAAAAAGTCGCTCCATGCACAATTTCTAAAATGTCAAAAGTTCGCTTGAATGCCATTTCAAATGAAATCAAGACGGTGGAACCAAGCAGAAGTTATATATCAGTTTGTCAAAAAATTATTATCTTAAAAAATTGCAGATGTCGCGTAAAATCAATAAATGACATCAAGTGGATTGACTCTATTTGTACATGGTGATTATACATTAAAATGCTTTAAATGCGGTTTAAATGACCTTTATGCCGGTTTATCATGTAGATACGATTACTTAGCGAAACATTGCAAAACTATTAGTTTTTTTGCGACATTAGGGTGCTGAAAATTCATTTTTACTATCGCTGGCTACATGTGAGCGAAGCTCTCTACAATAAAGTAATTTGGAGCGCTAAATATGAATATCATAGTTAAAAAATTCTAAAGTATCATCGGACCGGATTTATGGTGAAAAATTGTCCAAAAATTAGTCATCCGGGGCTACCTGTGAATCCTAGCACCAAATTGACATCGAATTCGGCATCTACGAACCCGATTTACCTAGAAAACAAGCTTCCATCTCGATCATAGATGCGTAACAGTTTTTAGATATTTTATAAAATCGAATTCTTGCCGGTATTTTGTGCCTTTTTGGTAACATTTTTCAGATCAAAACATAACTTCAGCAACATCTGTAAGGAGACACGTCTGATCCATGTTCAAAGTAACTGTATTTTTTGACGTAATTTCTGCTTAGAAAATATTGCCCCTTTTTTCATCACCCTATATCTGTGTGTGTGACGGATGGCAGGGATTTTAAGAGTGCCATTGTCACCTGCCGTGGGTAAACAAACCCATTTTTTATTCTTTATATCCGAAATAACCGGTATAATATACCCCCGATACAAATTGAGCTCTCAACGCCAACGGCAGCCAGACGTAATTGATAGGAATATTTCCGAGCTTCATTTGTTGATTGCTTTAGGGTGGATAACCCTTAACAAACGAGGTATTAGGATCCTACGCCTACATAGAAATATAGCAAAATAGAAAATAGAAATGGTGTCAAGGAGGCTGGCTCTTTACTTCGTTGGAGATTTCAAAGACAGGAGATGATTCAAATCCTTTCAAAGGGCGAAATCGGATCGCGATTAGGTCACTTCTCTAGCTACTGACAGCTTCATTGAGAAAATAAACGCAGCTTTTGGAAGTGGATTGTGTCCAATATCGCATTCTTCTACAAAGATTGCCGCATCCCATGTTCCATGGTAGTAGCATTAGGCACTTTTCATCTTGTTTGAGCAACAGACAGCAGCTTGTAATCTTCAACCACACTATCTCCACTGCAATGACAGTTTCATGTGGCGTCCCGCAGGGCTCTATGCTGGGCCCACTTTTATTCTTAATATGCATAAATGACCTCCCTAATTGTAATGAAAACAAAAACCTGTAATAGCAAATCGATCGATCGACACTTAATGCTTCAAAATCTTTTAATCCACTTTGCAGATGACAAATGTGTATATATAATAATATATAAAAAGGTACAGTGAAATAATACAAATAATTTAAAAAGCAATAACAGAAACTTCTTATTGGGCATTTAAACTTGAGGATCTGATTTGCAGCGGTAATTTATTATAGTATTTGGGTGCAGTAATTTTTGAAATGGAATGAAATGGAATGAAATGGAATGAAATGGAATGAAATGGAATGAAATGGAATGAAATGGAATGAAATGAAATGAAATGGAATGAAATGGAATGAAATGGAATGAAATGGAATGAAATGGAATGAAATGGAATGAAATGGAATGAAATGGAATGAAATGGAATGAAATGGAATGAAATGGAATGAAATGGAATGAAATGGAATGAAATGGAATGAAATGGAATGAAATGGAATGAAATGGAATGAAATGGAATGAAATGGAATGAAATGGAATGAAATGGAATGAAATGGAATGGATATGGAATGAATGGAATGAAAGAATAAAATGGAATACAATGGAATAACATGGAATAAAATGGAATGGAATGGAATAAAATGGAATGGAATGGAATAAAATGGAATGGAATAGAATGGAATGGAATAAAATGGAATGGAATAGAATGGAATAAAATGGAATGGAATGGAATAAAATGGAATGAAATGGAAAGAAATGGCATGAAACGGACTGAAACGGAAGGAAAGGGAACGAAACGGAACTAAATCGAAGAATTGGAACGAAATGGAATAAAATGAAACGATATGATGACTCCTCGGCCTCTGCATATCAAATTATGTAAAACAAATCTATCATCTTTCTGTTTCCATTGCAGATGAAGGGGAAACATGTTTGACTTATTATGTCCAACAGGTGCATAGTATCACTGAGATCAGCAGCTAATACTTAGCTTCTAACTACAATTTTCATCCTCAGCAAACAATGATTGAACATGAGCAGGAACCAGGAAGAAGCTGCCGATGTCACTGATTCTTTGCACGCGTTAGGCATAATAAGTCACATATATTTTCCCTACATCTGCAATGGAAACAGAAATACGATAGATCTGCTTTATATAGTGAGCTACCAGCTGATATCTAACAACCTTTTCTTTCTTGGTGTGACTCTTTCTATCAAACTACTACTAAGAGATCCTGATAGGGTCGTCATACATAGTGAAACACCTTAATGCATTTATGATCAACTTCATTATGTCCATTCACTCTTTGTTGCTGCAAGGTAGTTGCGGCAATCCCCCTGATTTCCCTGAAATACCAACAGTTTCAAACAACAATATTTACAGAGTATGCTTAATTAACCATCAATGTCCATTTCAGGGCGAACTGCCTCCGACATACCGGGAGCTTCAAGACTCTCGTCAACGCAGCTGCAATATCGGCCTGCCTTAATATTCCGACGAGCATGTGGCAGCTTCGAAGCCGAAGGAGTGCATAACACTTTTGAAATATGAGCGGAGTTTGGCTTGCGCGACCGCCTCTAAGTTGCTGGGAACTCCTCAAACTGTGGACGGCGATGCTCGTCGTCTTCGCTCCGGCGATGGCAGGTTAGTCAATTCAGTCCTAGGGCGTCTTTGGGTGATGCTTAGTTAGAAGCTTACGGGTAGATTGATGTTTGGTTTTGAATATATTAAGTGGCGTAGAAGAAACTATACTTCGTTTTTTACTGAACGAAAAGTGACAATACAATACGTCAAATAATAACAGAAATGATGCCGTATAGTCGCGCTACCGTCCACTAGATGGCGCGGTCGGTATCACAGGGTCACTATAAACAGAGGCGTTACGCTGGGGTTCTCGTAGGGGTGTAATTAACAAACAACACCCAGTAATGATCAATTTATTGAAAATATTTTCTAGGTATACTTTTATATTTATATATTTTAGAAATATTTAGATATCAGGTAGTACGTCTCACTTTAGCGTTCTGCGATGCTCTTGTAAATGATGAGTTAAATGTCTTTATATCTATCTATCTTTATACATATATTTTTATGAACCTTATGATCCTTAAATACCCATGTTGTCTAATCTTTAATTTGTGTTACTCCGCTAGTGGTGGCTCTTTGAATATTGTGTCAAGTAGATGGATTCAGCACTTATGACGCATTGATATACAATCGACACGGACTGACAAACCGGCATAAATGAGAAACACGGACTTGTGTGATGACGATATCTTTAAGCAACAGACAACTTTATTATAATAATATATCTAATTTTGAAAATTCGGAAAATCGAGAATTTTGAAAAATTTGAAAATTTTGTGAATTCAAAAATATTGAAAACTTTGAAAATTTTGGAAATATTTAAAATTTTTGAACATTTTTGAATTGTGAAAATTGTAAAAATTTTGAAAATTCTGAGAGTACTGAAAAATATGGAAATTTTGAAAACTGGCAATTTTAGGAATGTAGAAATTTTGACTTGAAAATTTTGGAAATTTTAAAGCCTATATTTCGAAAATTTTGACTATTGGAAATTTCGGAAATTTTTAAATATTTTGAAATCTTTGAAAATTTTGAAAATATGGAAAATTTTCAAAATTTGGAATATTTTTAAGGTTCTAAATATTTTAATATAATTTTGATTTGATAATTTTGGAAATTTAGAAAATTTTGAAAATCCTGAGAGTATCTACTGAAAAATATGAAACTTTTGAAAACTGGAAATTTGAGGATTGAACATTTTAAAAATATTGGAAATTTTGGAACTTTCAAACCCCATATTTAGAAAATTTTGACAATTGGATATTTCGAAAATTTTTGAAAATTTTGAAAATTTTCAAAATTTTGAAAATCTTTAAAATTGAAATTTACCAGAGTCGTAAGTGGTTGTTGAAATGTGTATGCCAGCAGTGCCTTTCTTAGCATTCCAAGTGTCAAGGGAACCTTTTACAAACAGAACAGTGTCTAAATTATTGTTTGCTTACAAGAGTAATCAAGGAATAGCGGACAGACAGATAGACAGAAATAAGAGACATCTTTCTCTGTGACACACATGCCATGTAAAATGAGCCATTTCATTTTCGAAATCATCCGAGATTACAATACTTCATCGACACGGGAAGTAATTGATGCAAGTTTGTTTCTCTGATAAAAAACGAGACTGTAAACGGAACTCCAACAAGCGTACTCAGTTGAAGTGTGCTGTTGTATACACATTAACAATCATGGTAAAATCAGATAAAAGAACAGCGAACGTTTGCATATTCTGAGCCGAAAACAAACACGCGCGAGAAAAAAGCAATTAGCAAGTTTTAATTTTCAGTCGGAGCTTTGCAGAAAGAAGCGAAAAACAACGCACTCGCTAAAAACCGTCTATCACAATACACACTGCTAAAATGCGTATAGTCCAGTGACGTTAGGTGAATCTTAAAAAAATTAATAACGTATATATCAGACTTACCTCAATTCTTATCTCATGAATTATTGCATTTTACGAGTATTACTTATTTGTACCAATTTTGTTCTTGTCTATACGCCTAATATTGTCTTTTGTTTCGATGCTGTCTCCATTCCGATTGCGTCTACGTCCTGGTTTTGCGTCTCCGTCCCGCTCGTGTTCTATACATTTTAGTTATATATATATATATATATATATATATATATATATATATATATATAACAGCAGCAACAATAGTGTAAAATGAATTTAAATTAACTTACAGTAGTATGTGAGGATGTTGCTAATTGTTGTTTACGTTTAGGATGAGGGAAACACCCAGTTGCTACTGTTATCAATGTAATTGCAGCTCCTGATGATGATGGCAAAGACCATTGAAAGCTAGAGAGAATAAAAAAGTATAAAGAGTCCTCCTTGCTTAAATTTTGTCGAAGTACCCAACAAAAGGCGGAAGCTTTAATTTTTCACCTAACTGGTCTAGACGACAATGACCACGTCTCAAATTATATATATATATATATATATATATATATATATATATATATATATATATATATATATATATACTAAGTGACATATAAATCCGAACACCCAGTTTAAATGGTTTTATTTTAATAAAATTTTGTATAAGTACTTAATGAAGCATAATAAGTAAATGATAAAAATTTCAAAATGATTGCACTGCTTTAAAGCCCTTTGACCTTTAATAATGTGTGGATGCACCCTGATGTGCTACGCATTCTCCAACGCGCCTAGGCATGCTTCTGATCAGGTGGTCAATGTCCTCCTGTGGTATCTCATTCCAGGCAACCACCAACTTCTCTCGAAGTGCTTCTAGAGTCTGAGGAGGACGTTGGAGATTGAGCAATCTCCTACCCATCATATCCCACACGTGCTCAATTGGGGATAAGTCGGGAGATCTTGGTAGCCATGGTAACAATGTGACATCATTATGTTGAAAGAAGTCTATTGTGACTCTTGCAACATGTGGTCGGGCATTATCTTGTTGGAAAGTTGGATCTGCCAGGGTGTCAAGATAGGGTAAAAGATGGGGTTCTAGAACTTCGTGGATATAACGCTGCGCATTCATGTTACCTCTGATGAAGATTAAAGGTGACCTGGAACCATAAGCTATAGCACCCCAAACCATAACTCCAACAGTGTGATGAACATGTCTTTCAACAAAAAACTGTGGATTCCTCCTTTCACCACGCCGCCTTCTAACCCTGGCACGATCATCGTGCATGCCTAAGCAAAATCGAGACTCGTCACTAAAGACAATACTGTTCCATTCCTGATCCCAGAGTGACCGTTGTCTGCACCACTCAAGGCGATTACGTCGGTGTTCTCGAGTTAAAGGGAGGACCCAGTGTGGCCGGCATGAAAACAAGCCAAAACTTCTCATTCGTCGGTAAACACTTCACATGCCAATAGGTCTTCCGTGTTCTGCAAACCATTCATTTGCAATGGACCTGGTAATGGAGAAACGGTCCCTTAAGGCCAATAATCTTAGGCGGCGATCTTCACGGTCTGTTGTTTTACGGCGGCGTCCAGTGCCCCTTGCTCTTTGCGTACGGCCTTCTCGAAGCCATGCCTGACAACACCTAACCACAGTGTCTACACTTCTTTGCACTCTAACTGCAATTGCCCGAAAAGAAAGTCCAGCTTCCCGAAATCCCACTATACGGCCCCTATCAAACTCACTAAGTTGACGAAATCGTACAGGTCTCCGTACTTTAGGCATCGTAACCGATCGTAAAGGATGTCAAGAACCAAAATCCGCCAACGTTGATTCTTTACTGCGGCTGAAGTATTCATTTTTAGAGCATTAGTGAATTAAAAAAAAGCAGTATAAAAACCGGAATGTCCAACTGATAAGGCTGAAAATTTTTTCACTTGTTATTTACAGTAAGATAAATACATTCACCAACTTTTATTAAAATAAAACCATTTAAACTGGGTGTTCGGATTTATATGTCACTTAGTATATATCCAAAGTGTTTTATACTTATAATAACATAATTTGATTTTACTCATAACGTGGCCTTCAAAACTTAAACCTTTATCTAACAGTATTTCCGAACTTTTTATTTCCTGTACAATTCAAATAATGGTACCATCTAAAAGTATATTTGCATCCATCGCTTTCTCGAAAACTAACGAGTAGAGTGGAATTCGGAAAAACGAAATTATCAAACAATCTCCCAAGCGAAAAAGAGATGTTTAACTCTGCAGTGTTTGAAAGAGCTTTGTGATGATATTTATGGTTTTTTTAAAAAATAATTATTCGCAATGCTACATAACCTCAAATATAGAAGGAGATCGGTACGTTTGCAATTTTAGGTTAGGATATTTCGGAAAATATAGATAATTGATAGAAAGGCATACTCTGGTTTTCAGGTAAAAAACCTTGTGGGACTGTGTTATTTCGAGCAGTTCCACAGCGGTGTGCAAGTCTCATCGCTGCGGCACCGAGGGGCAATTTAGTGACTCCGAACACGTTCCTGCCAGTTCTCAAAGGGAAGCAATGTGGGAATATATACTGTTTTTAATCCCAACTTCGCTTTGTTCCCATTCCGATTAATATTACAACTGATATTCACCATGCGGAGCACTTCTGCCACGGCTTTGATAAAACCTCATCGCCATTTTATGGTCATATATTTTCCAGATTTTCGTCAGCATTTTCCGCTGCAGGGATTTTCCATCCCTAATACGTTGTTTCCTATGGGTTTACAGTGCGCTAACGAGCCCCAACAAAGTTCAATCCGACAAAAATCGATTTCTTCGTGAAAGCAAGGCCACGCTGAATATTGTTTTAACATTTGAAAGTTCTGGAAAATATACTAAGTGACATATACATCCGAACACCCAGTTTAAAAGGTTTTATTTTAATAAAAGTTGGTGAATGTATTTATCTTACTGTAAATAACAAGTGAAAAAATTTTCAGCCTTATCAGTTGGACATTCCGGTTTTTATACTGCTTTTTTTTAATTCACTAACGCTCTAAAAATGAATATTTCAGTCGCAGTAAAGAATCAACGTTGGCGGATTTTGGTTCTTGACATCCTTTACGATCGGTTACGATGCCTAGATTACGGAGACCTGTACGATTTTGTCAATTTAGTGAGTTTGATAGGG